GCACTTTGCTGCTTTGTCAGTTTAGTTAAACATCAGTAATAGGTTTCCCACCTAGGCCTACACTCTCCCCAGACCTGGGTGATTAGTCAGGCTTACAATACCAGGTAGAGATCATCCCCCATTGCCACACTTCCTGGTAGAGTAGGCCTCAGATCCCATCAGAAGGCATTTGGTTACTCTATACAATCAGGTCACTTTTGTACAGATAGGCATATATTTTCCAACAGGTTGGACTTCTGTTTTATAGGGCCCACAACTAGGTAAGGCTGATGGTGCCACCCCCACTCCACCCCCACCCCCAGCAACCTGCTCAGCACACTCCAGAAGTTTGAATGCTAGCCAGCATAAAGGAATTTTCTAGCTAAATGTCAGCCTGTTTTCTATCTTACAACCAAGGTATGTGGTGTGTTCTGTAGTATGGTCATATCCTCTCGTTCTGTCAAGAGCATTAATAAGAGTCTGTATTATTGGGGCTTCTGGGGTCTCCATGACCCACTCCTGTGCAGGTATCTAGTGCCTGGGACTGAGAACTATGTTCAGTAATCCACTGTTTCTAGAAGCAACATCATCGGCAAGACCAAACCACCAATGGAGGATGAAATACCATCCTTTGAAAGGGATAAACCACTCTCTTTCAGTCTGACTTGAAGAGGGCTGCACAAAGGTCACTTCTCCCTGTCCCTACATCACTAAGAGTCTCCAAGATGATGGCAAGGTCTGGGAAAACACCCCTATACTTCTATCTGCTGCAGAGAAGCCAAAGGCTTGCCATTTTAGAGGGTCAGTCTGCAACTAAGAGAAACTTTCAGAGGCTGCGGAAGCCTTCGCTAAGCTTTCCCAGGTCAGCTTCCCCCGCCCCACCCCATCCTCCTCCCCTCAGTGTCCAGTGCAGCCCTCCCATTCTCTCCCTCCTATTGTTTCCCAAACATCCTGCCCTTCATAAAAGCTGTCTGGGAGCTTAAAATATTGCTGGACAGTAAAATCTACTCATCAGGACCAATCCAGTCATATCTGCTCAGTCGTGCAACACATTAAGGGCGGGGTGGAGAACTGGGAGCTGGGCTTATAGGTGGCAAAGGAAAGACACCAAGGTTGATATTTTGCTGCTGAGTGCCAAGAGAGAAAGACAGCACCTGCTGCTTCTCCGTGGGACCCTACTCACATTGGCAAGTTTTCCTTGGGTGGTGTGAAATTGTCGCCTTCCCTTCACATCTTCTTTACCAGCATAATCAGGGCCATACTCAGGTTTCTCCAAGAGGAAAGAGGTTGTAACTAAGGACTACTGTTAGACTGAGATGGCTGGATTTTGAGTTCAACCTTGAAAACCCTCTTGAAGTTCATGTAAGAGTTTGTGGGCGGTTGGAAGGGGGAGAATGTTGAATAATGCTTGATATGAATAGAGATGTTCAAACTCTAACTCGACCTCCTAAGGTCTTTCCATTTTTCAGAATTAATTAATGCTGCTTTCCTAAATCCAGAGGAATATAAACCAAGCATTCAATTTACAAATGCATTTTTCACTTTTTTTCAGTCAAAACTCTACAATGGAAGGAAGAGTCATAACTGTTGAGTGATGTGGGTAAACAGGAGACCTCCTGCTTGAGGTTTGCAATGTTAATACATTTAATGAAGCACAGGAATGGACCTGGCTAAGGATCCTAAACGCTTCTTGGGAACCAGTTCTGTTATCTGTTGGCAAAAGTTGCTGGTTAGTGGCTCTACATACAAGGACACAGAGGCACAGTTGCATCCCACTCTCAACCAGAGTAGTGTGTGGCCCACTAATGCTTTGGGAAACTTTTTAGCATGGATGTATATGCTATTTTGTGCTTCTTCAAAGCCAGGACAAAGCTACACTGTCCTGTAAATTCCCCCGGTGTTGGAGCCAGAAGACCAGGGTTCACATCTGAGCTGTCCTCACTAGCTGGGCCAACTTGGGAGACTCATTTAACTGCTCAGCCTGTCCCTCCCTGGTCATAATGTCAATAATGTTTCATACCTAGGTCTCAAGTTATAGATCTGTCTGTTCTAGTTCAAGGTAAAGTTTTCAGCAACCTGTGACAAAAATATGACTATGACGAAGCAAACTATGTAGTAAATTTTTCACCAAGTTAAATGTTCAGTTTGGGTTGTTTGTTTCGTTTCGTTTTGTTTTGTTTTGTTTTGAAGGTCTCAGTATGTAGCTCTGGCTGACCTAGAACTCATTATGTAGACCAGGCTGGCCCGGAACTCACAGAGATCCACCTGCCTCTGCACGCGCTAGGGTTAAAGCCATGTGACACCACACCTGACCACATTTCACCAAGTTAAATGTGTTCAGTTTAAAGATTTGTCTTTTATTCTGAATGTGTGTCCTCTTTAAATTTTGTGGTACTAAAATCCCTTTTACAAAGTGGTAGTGAAGGCAGACTACAGACTATAGACATTACTTTGCAATCTGTTAAGTTTCTTGTTTTGATGATTTTTAGCAAAGTGAGGAGTTAGGAGCTTTAAGTTATTTTGTTGTATTTATTAATACAGCCAAATCTGAAATCTAAATCTGAAAATCACTTGCCTAGCTTATAACTTGTGAGGTCAAAATACATACATATGTTACTGTTAGGAAGAAAGGAATACCCCAACATTGGTTGTTATTTTAATCCTCACCTCTACCCATAATACTCTCATCAGATGTCCCCAGGAGTACATGGAGGCCCTGGGGTTGAATAAACTCTGGTAGTTTATTTTCTATCTGTACCAAATCTGTTCCCTTAGTTTTCTCAAGCAAAAGAAAATAGAGAATTGTCTCTTGATGGAAGAGAAACGTTGCTTTGGTTTGGATTTCTCCATGCTCCAGCAGAATATCTTGCTACTCAGATCTGACTTCCTTCAAATTTTCATTGTTTGAAGTCAAGAACAGGACCAGGGATGCAGCTCAGTGGCACAGAGCTTGCCTGGCATGCTTAGTTCAATCCTTAGCCCTGGAGAAGGGGGAAAAGACCCTCAAGAACCGAAACACTTAAAAAATATTTAAAGGGGGGAGGTACAGATAGGGTTCAGCACATATAAAACAGGAATTATTGGTCTTCCAATTTATATTGAGATCTTATACAAAATACCCACTACCTGCCCTGATTGAGGGAGGGGTTGTTTTGCTTTCATTTTTGACTCAGAATAGCTGGTTTCAGATCATTTTTCCTGTTGTTTTTGTTCATTTGGTTTGGTGTTTACTTTTCCTTGCAAGTTGTTGCTTTTATGCTGACAGGTAAGAAGACTGGAGATCGCAGAGTTTTAGTGAGACTTGTCCTATATTCACTCAGGAGCTGAGGGTTTCAGATCTCAAAACGATTTCTATCAGTCTCGTACTCTGGTGTCTATGAGGATCCCACACTTGAAGTGCTTGTTGTGATGTACCACAGAGAATGAGGCAAAAAATGATTCAAGAGCATTCTAAGATTAAGTAGAGCATTCTATAGTAAGATTAAATGTATACTATCAGTAAGTTATCAGATTAGAGTATACTGTAGCTAGAGTTTACCTTACTAGAGAAAATTATAAAAATTACTTTAATGTAAGTTTTAGATCAAACCATAGAAATGGACCTCCCAGGATCTGTCTGGTATGTGGGCTTTATGCGCAGATGGCTTGCCCAACTGTGAAGTTTCCCATTTATTACTGGAAGGTAATGGGTATGACTGCCACTCTTTACAGAGTAAGAACAAGGTTTCACTGTAGTTTGAAAAATGTGGCTAGGATTCTGAGTAGAGGACCTCTTCCTATTCTCCATCCCGCACTCCTACAAGGAGCTCTTCTCACTTCAGACCAGGACTGTGGCTACCACAGCTTATAACAGGATTAAGATAAATGAAACGGGCTGGAGAGATGGCCCAGCAGTTAAAAAACACTGGTTGTTCTTGCAGAAGACCCAGGTTTGAATCCCAGCACCCACATATCAGCTAACAACTATCTGTAATTCCAGGCCCAGGAGATCCGAGAGCTTCTTCTGACCTCTACGGGCATTGCACAACACGGGTGCACTTACCTACATGCAGGCAATACATGCATACACAAAAACAAAAATAATAAAATTTTTTAAAGATAAATAAAAGAATACAATGGCAAAGGTCTGTTCCACAAAAGGTGTTCAATAAGCCAGGTGTGGTGGTGTGCCTTTAATCTCAGCACTCCGGAGGCAGAGGCAGGTGGGTCTCTGTGAAATCAAGTCCAGCCTGGTCTACACAGCAAGTTCCTGACTAGCCAGGATTGCATGATGAAACCCTGTCTCAAAATAAACAGCAAAAAGGTGTTCAATAAATGTTAATTATCTTCTATTTGCCTTCAAATGATCATTACATATTCTAAAACAGTCAATAGTAAGATGGCTATAGACAATTTCATACATACATGAAATTTGTTGAGGGCCCAAGCATCCATAGAATAGAGTTTGCATTTTTTCAGCATTATGTCCCATAAGTCGTCCATCAACCTGTAGTCGTGATTTAAATTCATGTAACTGCAGAGTTTTACTTGTGATCCACAATAAATCACTATTTTTAGTGGGGTTCAAGGTGTTATACAGATAGATACTGCCCAATGGATCATTTCAAACAACTTTGATGAATGAGAATAAGTATTATTAATGAATCCATCTTACACATTATTATAACGGCAGATTCTTTTTTTTTCTTTTCTTTTCTTTTCTTTTTTGAGATAGGGTCTCCCTGTAGCCCCAGCTGGCCTGGAACTTGCTATGTAGACCAGGCTGCCCTCGATCTCACAGAGTCCCAAGTGCTGGAACTAAAGGCGTACACCATCAGAGCCCAGCTTGTAAGCAGATTCTTTCAAGCTTTCATCCCTTAGCCCTAGTCTGCACTGCAGAGGCACTCAATAGAAGCTGTTTACCCCCGCGACTGTTCCATCATCTCAGAAAGAAAGGGAACCACAAGAGTTAACAAAGGGATCATTTTGGGATTGCACTGTAGCCACTCAGGTTTTGCCTTCTCCCTCGTAAGTGGTGAGCAATGGGCGACTGGAGTTTCCTGGGAAACATCTTGGAGGAGGTGAACGAGCACTCCACTGTCATCGGCAGAGTCTGGCTCACGGTGCTTTTCATCTTCCGTAGCCTCATCCTTGGCACTGAGGCAGAGTTCGTATGGGGGGATGAGCATTCGGGTTTTGTGTGCAACACCCAGCAGCCAGGCTTCGAGAACGTCTGCTATGATCAGGCCTTTCCCATCTCGCACATCCGACTCTGGGTCCTGCAGATCATCTTCGTCTCCACTCCCCCGCTGAGGTACGTGGGGCACGCAGTGCGTCACGTCCGCATGAAGGAGAAACGGAAGGACCGTGAGGCAGAGGAGCTGTGTCAGCAATCCCGGGGCAATGAGGGTGAGAGAGTACCACTAGCCCCAGACCAGGCCAGCATTAGGAAGAGCAGCAGGAGCAGCAAAGGTACCAAGAAGTTCAGGCTGGAGGGGACGCTGCTGAGGACTTACGTCTGCCACATCATCTTCAAGACCTTCTTTGAGGTGGGCTTCATCGTGGGCCACTACTTCCTGTATGGTTTCCAGATCCTGCCCCTCTATCGCTGCAGCCGGTGGCCCTGCCCCAACGTTGTGGACTGCTTTGTGTCCCGGCCCACTGAGAAGACCGTCTTCCTCCTGTTCATGCTGTCCGTGGCCTTTGTGTCTCTCTTCCTCAATATCATGGAGATGAGCCACCTGAGCCTGAGGGGAATCCGGTCTGCCTTCAAGAGGCCTATAGAGCAACCTCTGGGGGAGATTCCTGAAAAGTCCCTCCACTCCATTGCCGTCTCCTCCATCCAGAAATCCAAGGGCTACCAGCTCCTGGAAGAAGAGAAGATCGTGTCCCACTATTTCCCTTTGACCGAGGTTGGGATGGTGGAGCCTAGCCCACTCTCCGCCAAATCTTTCAGTCAGTTTGAGGAGAAGATTGGCACAGGAGCCCTGGCAGACATGTCCCGGAGTTATCAAGAAACCCTGCCGTCTTAATGCTCAGGTGGGGGCAACAGGAAATGGAGAGGAAGGAGCAGCCTGTAGAGGAGGCAGTGGAACCAGAAGTGGGAGAGAAGAAGCAGGAAGCAGGGAAGGGGACCTCAGAAGGGCAAGTGACGGTTGCGGTGCCAGAGGGGGAGAAAGGAGAGACCCCCGGAATAGGGAAGGACAGGGAGAAGGAAGAGCCGCAGGCTGAGAAGGTAACCAAGCAAGGACTGCCAGCTGAGAAGGCGCCTTCCTTTTGTGCTAAGCTGACAAGCAATGACAACAGGCCCCTGAGCAGGCTGAGCAAAGCCAGCAGCCGGGCCAGGTGGGATGATCTCACCATATGAAGCAGTGGTGAAGAAAGACACCCTACTTCCGGCTAATTCAGAGCAAAATGAAATGTGCAGGTGCCAACATGCTTTGAGTCTTCTGTGTCCCTTGGGTCACCCCTACCCCACAGATATACAACTGAGAGAGACTGTCTTTCCTACATGTAAGGGCTACTAAGACAAATCCATTGTCCCATCCAAGTTCCTAATTTCATATGCCTGCCCTGGTCCTCTAGTCCAACAACTGTGCTTTCTTCCTCATATCACCATAGAAACCCATCAGGTCAGAACTGTGGTTGCTTCATAGTCTTTTACCAATCTTGCTCTAGGCTCACTAATTCAGTTAGATTTTATCAACCCAGCATTTCTCTAGCAGAAACCACTGGTCCTATATCAGAGATCCCAAACTCAAAAGCTTACTGGATCCAGGCAGACCTGCTCTAGTTAAAGTTGGACAGCAGGAACAACTGCTGGCCACTTCCAGGTAATTATGGTCACCTTGATACCTAGCCATCTGATTTTTTAAGAGAAACCAGAAATTCAAAATTCAATTGAAATTTTGGCAACATAATTTAAAATACGGTATGTGGGCCAAATGAATTGTATCCAAATTTGGTCTGTGGGGTGATGGCAGTTTATATTAATAAGCCCAGCTTTGCTATGGAATTAGTCGGATATTTTATGGTTTTTGCCTGTTTTGTGGCTTCCAGATCTCATTTCACAGCTTTGGAATGTTTTAAGTCACCAGTCTAGGAGATGCCCAGAGTTCTTCCTGACCATTCTGTTGGATCACTGTGGCCCCGAGTTTAAAGCAATACATCCTTTATACTGGAAGGAATTCTGCCCTGAGCACCATAAGAAACATCAGACTTTACTCTGTGAAATGAGAAGGCCTTAGGCTTTAAGTCCTGGCTGCAGTTTTCATCCCTGAAGCAACAAAGATCCCTTTTTAAAATTCTCTTCTTCCAACATTGCTCAGCCTAGAATCTTCATCTCCTTTTACCAGGGCTGGAAGCAGGGCCAGTTCCAAGCTGGAGGCTTGTCCTGAGGAGAATTGTTCTTGGGCCACACTTAGGCTTATAATAAATACCAACGAGCTATCAGAAGGGAATAAGGAGGGAAACAAAGTGGCTGCTCAATCAGTGTCCAGTTCTAAGCCAGGCTTTATCCCTGAAAGGGACACGGAAGCTAAGGAGGAATCTCATAGGTCTCCTGCCTTACATCCCCTCAACCAGCCCATTTCAAACATTGAGTCCAGTCAGGGGAAACCTCAAGTATATGTGCATATTTCACACTGGGAGCAATATGACTCACAATCAATTTCCAGAACACAGAGAGAGAATGATAACTCAGATGTTTCATCTGCCAGGCGTGTCCAACCTGAGGCCTGAGGGCTACATACAACACAGGATGGCCATGAATGGGGCCCAACACATCAGAAACTTACTTAAAAGATTTTAAGGGTTTTTCTTGCAAATTGTTTTTGTACCTCTAATGCATGCTTCTCTAGTGTGAACTTTGTAGATGTCATCATGTCACAATGTCAACAGGCTAGATACGCCAAAAGCTATGTCTCATGGACTATGTGCCAAGGATAAGGGGTAGGAATTGTAGAAACCAAGTATACATGGCAGAGACTTGGACAGAACACCAAAGTACCCAGAAAAACTGCCCTTCACCTGTCCTCCTCCCTGCCAGCACCATCTCAAAGTCAGAAAGTCCTTTTAAGGCCCTCTGGCTACCACTTTCATTTTAACATATTCATTCTAGATAAACCTTCTCCAAAACTATTCTTCCCCATGAAAAATCAGTATTCATGTTGTCTGGTGCCTCATCCTAAAGCAAAGTGGTTTTGAAAATAAATTCACTGTAAGGTATGGTTTGATAATTACACCTACGAAATTTGTATTGAAAAGACAAAGGCTAAATATATATTTGCCTTGAAAACCAAAGTAACAAGCTTTTGATGGAGGCATGTATCAGGCAATGGACAGTCAAATCGAAGGGAAACACTGCCTTCTAAACATGTGACTTTCTGGCTGCTGCTCAGCTCTTGCCCCTAGCAGATAACATGTCAAGTATGGTGAAAGTGGTAACAAAAATCCCAAGCCTCCAAACCCACAGACTATCTTGGACCCCATAGGCTGTGTTGTGATTCCTACAGTTGTGTTTCCATTTTAAGAGCTTTCTTTCTTGATTGGTACTGGGGATGGGAGGAGTGTCTATCTCAACCAGGACCTGATACAAGGGTCCTAGTGGTTCAGTGGTACAGTGCTTGCCTAGCCTGTGCAAGGCCCAGGGTTCAATCTCCAGTACCTCAGCTAGGATATAATATAAAAACAGAAAGAAGAACTAAATCCTGTTTTAAATAACACTGCTGGCACTGTTTGGAACCAGTTGTAGGGCTGTAGGGTAGGGCCTACTTGTCTTGATTGGGCCAAAGTATGTGACTGAGTCATCTCTCAGCTGAAGCAGCATCTTGCTTCAGTGATCATAACTGTTCAGCCCCCACATACCTTGACGTTTCCTTCTGAGTCTTCCTAACAAAAGAGGGAGACCAGTTTGGAAGAAACAGACACAGGCATCCAACAAGGATTTTCTTTCTATTTCTCCACTAGATGCTTTGCTATTGCCTCTTGCCCTCTTTATACCTCAGTTTTCTGTCTAGAAGCAGGCAATGACACTTGCCACCTACCTACCTCCAGGGGTATCGTAAAGACTGATGAGTTGGCCAGCACACCTGGAGCCTGTTGTATGGTGCCACTCCCTGAGAGATTCCTCCAACAGCAGTAAGATGGGGAAGGAGGGCAAGTGGGTGGCTTTCATCTGCCCCTCTTCACTTGCCTGGCAGTTACATAGTAAGAGTTTCTCAATACAGAATAGGCATTCTGGAAACCAATTTTCTCAGAAGAGACAACAAAATCTTGACTATATGTGTTCAATAGGAATCTTTGACCTTAAGAAGTGACCAGGAACAGGTTGGCAGTTACTTTCACCCCTAGAATAAGGTGCCTCTTTTTGAACTGCCACATAGTTCCTGGCAGGTCCCATTCAGAGGCACCTGTGTGTCTGTGCTCTATGTAGTACACCCCTTGCCCTGTTTGAGGGAAAATTAACATGGCTGATCCAGGATCCCCCTGGGCTCCATTAGGTCCAGTTTTAGCTCTGACTCAGTCCCTTGTTAGATAAACTCTAGAGCACATGGATCTACCAATAAAGACATATTGAACCGCAAGATAATTACCAGAAGTGTGGCTCCTTCAAAAGGAAATAAAGGGGCTAATGACTTGATAATAGTCATAACACAAGCATCAGAGAAGATCTAGACCAGGAAAACTAGAACTGCTCAAAGTTCTGTTAGAAAGTTCCAAGTTTGTCTGGGTAAACCCCAAGCTTAGAATTTGGGGCATTGTAAAAAGGATTATGGGCTTTGTACAATGGCTTTGGCCCTTGATATACATATGAAGCATCCAGCACAGCACTGGAAAAATATTCTTGAGGCTCAGTATGGTTTGAGGATCCACAAAAAACACTGACATTTGATTGAGTGAGGAGTGGGGCTGCCTGTTACTAACTCTGGAGATGTCAAGATGTCACTCCTCTGTTCTCTGTGATTTACTCTAGGATAACTGAGAATAATAAGCCCCTCCTTCACAAGATCTAATAAGCTTTCTCAAAACCCACTAATGTGGAAATAGAAGGAAAAAAAGGAGGCATTATCCAAATTTCATAATCATATTGTAAAACACATACTAAAGCAATGACAAGCATCACTCCCAAATAATGCAGACTGTTAACTAAGACACTGAGAAAAAGTGAGTCAAATAAAATGAGGAGATGGTCCTGAATTCTTAAGAATTATAATACAAAGAACATCTTTAATCATATGAGAATCAATTGCTGAAAGTAATGATGAAAAATTCATTTTACTGGAGCTCACGGATAGAGAGAGATGTGCCAACCCCTGAGACTGTCTCTGAGTCAGGGCAAAAGGAAGAGGCTTATGTAGGAACTGTTCTGCTGAAGCCATGTGGAAGGCCAGGGACAAGACTAGCACAGACCACTGCTGTTCTTCACTTCTTAAACAGGGGCAATAGGCATGCATGGGAAAGAATAGGCCCAGAACCCCAAGAGCATCTTCCATCCCACTCCCCCAACCTCCTCCTCTCTTCTTCCCCTGACTTCAAACTACCGTTGTATGCATATCATGTACAAATGATTGCACAACCAAAGTTAGTACAGTATATATTTTTAAAAAAACGTATGGAAAAGGTTGGATGGAAAACTCCTCTGAGTATAAATACATTCTGTAAAATTAGTGTGTGCCTAGAAATTATGATGAGATAGATAGGGAGGTTTCCCTTCTTGAAATTATTTATTATAACTAAATATGTATTGGGAGAAGGGAGGAGATAAAGGAGTTAAGTAAGGAGAAAGAAAAACTTTTATGGAAGACAAATCACTCTTCACGGCAGCTTCCAGAGCCAGGAAGAAGACAGTATTCAGCTCTGGCAGGAGCCATCAAGTAGAAGAGAGACGGACTAGCGTCTCTAGCCTCACGGTCTTTAAAAAGTTTTCCAGGGCAAAGAATTGTAGCAGAATTCATGAATTTGCCTGGAGAGAAAAGCAAATGGCTCCATTGCCTTTTCTGTGTGCTTTCTTTCCCATCTGTGAGACATAAAAGCAAAGAATGAATTAAGAAATGCATTCAAAAGGAACTTCATTGGGAAATCTCTCACGGGAGAGACAACATTGGGACCATGGTCTGTATTCTTCAATCCTCTCCATTCTTGTGTCCAAACTAAAATTTGCATGTTAGATTGTTACAAAGCAAATAAAACTTCACTTTTAACTGTCTTTTTTTCTCTCCTGACCTTCCAGGAAGGTAGGCAGTAAAGAAACTATCTCAGTTTCAAATCCTTTTTTTGGAATTAGGAGCCTGAGAAAGGAAGGAAAGTGGTATGTCAATAAATACTTATCAGTTCTCTTCAGGGTAAAGAAGTCCTGACCTGTAGGTT